ATGTACAATATATATTACTTCGGGATATACTGCCTCATTGGCCGAGTGGTCGCAAGTGCGACTGCCGAGCAAGGGGTCTCGGGTTCGATTCCCGGGTTGGGCAAAGTATTACTGGGTTTTTAAAAAAATACCAGTAGTAGCACGGAGTCTGGAATTGTGCCCGGTATATGGCAATAGGCTCACCCCCTATTACATGGGACTCATAACATAAATAGTGAAAAGTGGGTGTTACATTGTACAGTGGCATAATGTGCACCTCTGCCTACCCCTTCGAGGATAAAAGGTTACTTCGGGATTAATGTAACTACGAAACAGACAGACGTTAAGTTAATTTATGTTTATTCATCTTAAATCAGGCTTGGCACGCTACATGCAGATCGATAAACAGACATGTGTTTATTTTTATTGTGTTATCTGTGTCTGGTTCAAAAGCCAGTTTATGTGTTTTTAAAACACATGATGGCAGCCGAAAGTGCGACTGTAAAAAAAAATTACTGTTTTGATTCTCGGGATGAAGAAGTAATTGTAATTTAGACTATTGTACAGTAGACGCCGTGTCTAAACGATTGACTATTAGGTAATGTGTCACTGAGTAGTTTCAAAAGTTTAAAAATAGGGTAGTTTCCTATATCTTATTTTAATGTCCGTCTGGTACATTAATTTTAAACTTTAGACACGAATTTTGTCTTTCCTCGCAAAATTAAATACTTTCGATGATATATTAATTTGAAGTATCGTGTGATGTCACAGCGTGCCACATTTTGTAGCACATTGTGACGTAAAAACCTCCCACTCCTAAACTTAGCGCCATTTTATCAAAGTATAGGAACTTAATATGAGAAAATAAAAAAATACGTGTCTAATATTTTTTCATTATCTAACTGATGGACTAGTTAGATTTTTAATTTAGATACCCTGTCATCATCCCAATTGTAAATGTACTTCCTACTCATAAACAAATCTCAGTTAAGCTACACTTTCCAATAGTTTTTTTTATTTTCAAAATTCAACGATAGAACAAAATAATATGCTCACTCTTTTGTAAAACCTGTCTTCGAATATTCACATCCCCAACATTTTTCAATTCAAGAGGCCCTGTACCATTTTCATTCGTTTGTTTTAAAATAAAATAAAAAGTGCAGCAAAGGCCGTTTTATTTGAAACAGTAGGCGTAACTGGGAAGTTACAGTAAAAATAAATATTGACCCTCTTGTATGCTAATACCAGGAAGCCATCAAACGAACTGGTCGATCGAAAGCAAACTGACCTTTTTTACTTTTTTTTTATTTATCGTAAGAAACACAGAGAGGACATGTCGAAAGTACTGTTTTTAAAGGATAATTAGTATCTTTATACATACTGTGAATGCGTTTAGTCGGCATTCTAGTACTATTCATAGTGGTATCATTTATACCGATAAATTAAAATTCAGTGCAATGCGATCTTAATTAATTAGAATTTTACCTATCTCCTAAGCACCTTGATTGGATTAATGAATTAATTAAGACTGCACTCACGTAAATGTTTGGCCAGATTATTGAACTAGTTCAAGCAAGTACCTAAGTTGTGGGCCCCGGGTGTGGCTTGAAACTAGTCGTGTAACCTGTCGCGGAGAACCTAACGGGTAACCGGGGCTCCGGCTCGACGTGCAGGAGAAGGAACGGGGTGGTTTTTAGTCAGTAAGAGTCTGACACTCCCTTCCGCCTCACCCAGGCGGGAGCAGTCATTCGATGATTTTCCCCCCTTAAAAAAAAAAGTCGTGTAACCTTTTCGAACAGTCACCTAAATAAGTCATACGACCTGTTTAATTTACCTTGATTGGCTTTATTTTTGTTTTTACTAAAATTAAAAAAAAACAATGTCGGTAATCTAGTTCATAATGACTAATTCCCAGTTGTATGATATCGCAGCCGGATTATGTAAAACAACAGATTTAGCTTCGATTTAGGTTTTGAAACTAAAGTCTCAGATTAAAGGCTATGCCTAAAGCTGATTAGGGTTGATAGTAAAAGACCTTGGGACAATATTTATCAATTGAACTGTACTATTGAACCAGTTTAAACTGATCGGCGAGTGGGTGGAAATATTATACGAAGCGAGATCAGGATAAATTGGTTGTTTAGTTCGTCGATGTGTAGCCGTATGTATGTACCTAGTTTCTTATATCTGCTTAGTACTTACATATTTATGAAAACGAAATGTCACAGACTGTCTACCTAAATATGAAATCTCTTAATCTACTTGACCTATGAAATATGGAAGCTAGGTACATTTACATTTGTATGTATATTATGAAGATGAAAATGTTTCTGATTTTGACCTATTTCCTCAGTATTTTCTCTGCAAGTAAACATTTTCTGGAATAACTAGGTACTTATTTTGACATGGAAATCGTAAGATTATTTAGACGCCATTGACAAACGGTGAAGGAAAACATTGTGAGGAAACCTAGGCTTATAATTTTTAATTATAAGTTTCAAATCATCAACCCGCATTGGGCAAGCATGGTGGTTAATGCTCAAACATGTTTCGTGCAAGAAGACGCCTTTGCTCAGCAATGGACACAAATAGGCAATGCAGGAATGGCAATAATACAATGAATTCCTGACATTTAACCCCTGGTATGCAGTGGACGTACATATACGAGACACAATGTGTTTTCTATTGTATTCTATCAAATGGCCGATAGATAAGGGGTTAATATACCAAACATTCAGTTGTTTTCATGGCTTTATCGTCAAAGTGGTCAATGCAACTCTTAAAACTAAGGCTCCTGTCGATTACAATCTGAACATATTGTGTTGTGTATAATTTTAGTGAGTTTATTTGTTTGATTTCGGCAACTATTTAATGGGTAACCTCTTTGTTCCAAGTGACAAAATGATCAATTTCGAGACTATCATCATAGTATTAAGAATATATATACTATGCTATCATCTTCACCACGTACCATAATTATGTTCGAAAATATTACACATGGACCACAGATGACAACACGGATCCAATATCACCTCAAAGCCAAACGTATCAGTCACCTCTTTACAAATATTTATGCAATTAATTATCTACAGTCATATATTAAACAAGCAAACCACGCCCCCTCGCTATCGCATGCATACGTCATCATAAACATAAATATATTTATTACGCTTTTAACATCGTACTTTGTTCTTAATCCATACTAATATTATAAATGGGAAAATGTGTACGTGTGTCTGTTTATTTGTCCGTCTTTCACGGCAAAACGAAGCGACGAGTTCACGTGATTATTTAAGTGAACATAGGCTACTTTATGTCTCTTTCGAACTGCCTACTTGCTAAAAATGGTGGGTAGATAGAAGTTTGTATGAAGAATTCCCAATTTCTAAGGTGAAAACCTAAATAAAAAACAAAAAGAAAATAGTGCATCGATTTTTTTTATCTGCTCCCAACCCAAAAGCGCCTAGGCACGACGACGCGAGCGGAAAGCTAGTATTATTATGAACAATGAAAGAAATGAGTGACCCAGTGGATTTTACACTTAATAAATAATAAATATTATGCTTATCAGTGACCCGTGCTAGATTGGAGACAGTTTAGACCGCTAGTAAGCACTTTCACTAGTTGTCGCCTGATTAATTAATCTTGTTGATTTAGTAATCGCTAGCACGAGTGAGCACAATGGCCTGGGTTGTGTTGGCGGGTCAAGCACAGATTATACAGGAATGTCCTTTTAATAGCCTAAAAAATTTATGAAAATTATAATCATATATTTTTAGTACTGGGAGGATTTCGACTACTTTTAGGTATACTAGTCTCCTTTTTGTGTCTGGTAGGATAGTAACGAATGAAAATTGAAAGTTTTACATTATGCATACTTGTTATGGAAGTAAACGAACAATATGCTTCATTCACGTTCTTGTATAGATATGTCGGTTGTGCGTATTCCGTGCTATCTTTATTTCTGTATCATAAACTAAGCTATTTATAATGAAATTGAACTTCCAATAAGATTATTTTATATCAAAACAATAACTATTACAAAAAATAAAGTATTGTTTTGTTATACCAAACCGCAGTAACAGAAACTAGGAAACAATCGGGCACGATGTAAACAACCAATGACTGATATTTATGGTAGTGTTGTGACGAACACGGCGACGCGATATTTTTCCCTCGCACCTAAATTTTGGTCACGCGCGGGTCTCACGAACCCTAACAAATACTATAATAGGAAACTGTTATCCAACAAAAGGCCAACTGAAATTAAGTTAACGGCACAAATTACGTTTTAGAAGAAGATAAATAGAAGACATTTTATTGGACTGCTCTTACCTATCGAGAAAATTCTTTGAGACATGGATCATGTGGAAATGGAGTACTTACTAACATACAATTTATGTGATTAAAGTTGTATAAGTATTTGTTATGTGTTTTACTAATTAGTTAGCGCAGCTGAAATGAGAATAAAATCATATTTATTATACTTATTCCAGAAGTAAAAAGTTATGTGTAAGGGGAAATTTTAGGAACTGCGCGTAAATTGAAACACAATCGCATTTTTTTTCTCTTGTCGTAGACGTCTTTTAAAAAGGACAATTTCCAATAAGCCGAGATTACTCTTTTACATTCATACTCTTTGCTTTAAAGCCTAAAGAATTTTCTAGGCGTAGACTCAAATTACTAATGTTTAACGCTAAGATGGTAATTAATGTTGACAGGTCTTAGGCTAGGAATTTGTCTAGATAGCAAAGGTTTATTGTAGGAACATTGGGAGCAAATAAATGATGATAATTTCACGGTTTCTAGGTAAATCTATGACGATAGTAATGAGATGTAAAGGTACTGTTACATTTGCTCTAATATAGCATGCTATTGCCTGAATACTGAAAGGCTACTCAATTTTACGTCATACTTAAGTATCGTGCCATCTCTGTAATTTTAAAAGAATTTGTAGTGACAGAATATACTTAAGCGCAACTTCAAATTGCTATTCAATTTTTGTATATTTCAATAAAGGCGTTCTATTGAGCACGTTCAAAAATGTTTCTTGTTTAAAAATCGAACGCTTACCGATTTGTAAACATGTCTGAAATGAGCATGCTAATTTTGAGCAACATTCCGCTACACACACATGCTAAGGTCCTAATGCCGGAATACTGAAACGTTACTCAATTTTAAGTCGTTTATTACATCAGTTAACAGTAATAATACAATCTTATACAGATTCGGTATTAGGTATTATAGTAGGTGGAGGATACTTAGTGATGTGTTCCACTTGGGGTTCTTTAACATAGTCTGAGTAACAACAGACACGATCCAAGGCATAACAAATACGTGATATGTATAACATTTTCTTCTCAATACATCGCCCTCGTGGTATGCATTGTCCTTTCTTTGCGACACACGAAGGATCTGTAGAAAAAAAAAATTAATCAAATGGCACTAAAACAAATATTTGATGAAACAGGTTACCTCAATGGATTTTTAACTTTATTGCCCGATGATAATGTTGAAAATCTATTGAAGAAAATCAACAAATTATGCTAGCATTTTTTTAACAAATAGAAATTTTAAATTTGGAATTTCTAACTAAGTGATGTATAAAATCAGACAGTTTGATACATAGTTAATTTCGATCCACCTACTTCATTAAACCTTCATAGTCAATAAGAATAGGTACATTAACTAAAATCATGGGAACCACAGCTCAGCTGCTTAGCTGCGCGACGTCGCCGTGACCGCGCACGTTGCTCATGAGGAAGAACCCCTCTGTGGTTCGAAACTAGTAGAGCTTTTCTCAGTATATTCACGTGAGTAACCCGTGATTTTAGTTAATTTAGTATGTCTCACGATAGTTATTATAAAACCAAGAATAGGAACACCTATAGAAAGTGGCTATGAGTCATTTCATATGAACATTATAACTCCGTTCGTTTCTGATTACAAATTATATGACTGTGATATAGCTCATACAGCCATTCAAAGACTAATAACCCAACCTTAATATAGCAAAATGATTCCTTTTCACTAACATAATCTGCTAATAAAGTGGGGCTTATATCTTCGTAGGTAAAATAAACGGTTACATACGTATATTCACAGCGAAAAATAAATCGCGAGCGTTGTCACTCAGAGAAGTGTAGACATGGTCTTTGTACGATATTGGATATTGATAGTCGGGATGTAAGGGCTTAGATGTCATTTTGGGTGCGAATTCTGGCTTCACACCGCACAATAACACAGAAACACTGATCAAAGCAAACAGAATTGTCGTTTTACAACACGCCATTTGCATTTTTACTAAACTCAAAAGAGCTAATAAGAAACATCGAGTGTTATGGGCTTAATTAACAAAACTAATTAGTGTTTTCTCATTAACTTTCTAATTGATCAATAAAGTTTTTGCGACGATGAAGTTTTAAAAAAAGAAAATTGAATACCTAATAAAAAATTTCGCTCATTGTTTTTCTGCGTGAAATACTTGGTGACTCGTAAAATGAGTACTTATGAAGAACGGCAAAATGTGTGGTTTTCGCGCCTTGAAAGTAGGTTACTTTAACGTAACCGTAACGTCTGGTTTACGACTAGGCGACGCGATACATAAAACTTTTATACCCACACTTTGTGACATTAGCCACGGTTAGAAGTAAACTTTGTGTTATTTACTATCAAATTGTAGGTCACGTTAGCCTTCGTTTTTATTAAATGATGCCATTTGTTATGTTTATATGCATAACTTTGCTTATATTTTGATTATTCTAATACAAAAGCTGTTAATAAAACATAAGGTTAATTCCAGATACTTCGGCAAGGTTTTCTTAGATATAAATCCTTGTTGATCGTTTACTACGCGCGAGGTTGGTGGCCATTATAAAAATCATCAGACTTAACTTTAACAAGACATTATTACTGAATCTTAAAATTAGTATTCGAATCAATGTCAGAAAAGTCTAAGGACCCGATAACTTCTCTAATCTCGACGTATCTTCCTGATTTTATAAATCGTCATCCGTCTATCTTAATGAAGATAACGTACATATCTATATACCCAAACCTCAGTTTATTCTCAAACACGGCACATTCATAAATCACAACATAACATCACGCCTTTTATCCTCGAAGGGCTAGGCAGAGGTGTATATTATGCCATTATACAATGTAACACCCACTTTTCACTATTTATGTTATGAGCCCCATGTAATAGGGGGTGACCCTATTGCCATATACCAGGCACAATTCCAGACTCCGTGCTACTACTGTGAACATTCATAAATCATGCCTTTATGAAGCAACAGAAAAACTCCTTCGCTCCTTAAAGCGAGAGAGTCAAGTATTTTCTTCTCATTGACAAGTCCCTTGAAAAACCCTTATAGGTAAGTATACGTATATAAAAAAACGTTGTCAATAAAGGTGTTTGTTATCTTCAATCAGCAGCGTGTATCGTCATGTAGCTGATGTAGGTGAGCGGCCTGATAACAGATAGTAGACTTATCAAGCGGTGAGGATATAAGGTTGTAAACTGATTTCGTGTTAGGGTGGTTGCATACTGAGTCTGACTGCGAATTATTTAAAAAAAAATCCAATACACCACTTGCCCTATTTATAACATTTTTACTATTTTACAATCGTAATGATGAATTTTGTGTGTCGTAATTAACGGTGACTAATCTAAAAAATTCTTCTTTGTGTTCGGTGTGCACTGTTACTTAAAATCTCATATTTCATCTGCAAGGTAGTTTTTACACCTACCTATGTACTGCTTTTTGCTCTAGTAGTTAAGTGTATTCATTTATAAAAAATAAATAGCTGAATTACTTCCATTAACCTATAGGAATATAAACACAATACAAAACAGATCCAACCAAATAGAAATTGTAGAACTAAAAATAGTTTGGGACGTCTATATTTTTTTTTCTTTCAGTCAAAATGTCACCGCTTGTGTCACTAACCTTAGCGTGACGACAGCCTCGCTAGATATCAGGCAGGGCCCGGGGGCGCGATCCACACTAATCTTTCAACTGTTCCGTACATTTTTTTCGGAGGCTCGACTTTTATTTTCTTTAGTAAGATACTGGCGTTAAAGAAATTATTAAAGTTTTTTCGTTATAGTAATGCACTATAAACAAGGCTGTTAAGTAAGAAAAATAGCTTTTAGGTTTTCAAATAAAATTTTCGCGAACTATCATAATTTTTGGACAACCATTTAGGAATGAAATGATTATTAGCAAAACTAAGATATTTATGAAAGATCTAGAATAATCTATGACACCCATTGTTATAAAAAACACAACAAATGAAGTTCTTATAAACTAAATTCGATCGTATTTTACGGACTCCTTTATGAGAATATTATATATCAACAAAGATTGAAAAAAAACTTCGAATTTTTTCTTATACAAAAAAGTATTCAAGTTTAAAATTGGAACAAAAATAGCTCTGGAATTCTGGAAATACTTGTAGGATTTTCCATATATTGAGTTTGAAGGAATTTTCTTCCGAATTCAGATTTTATTGCATACCAATTTTTTAATTCTTTTAAAAATACTGAAAATCAAAACAGAAAATAATTATAAAATTACTTTATGATTTGGATAAATATTATGTTATGCAAATAATTATTTAGATAATGTAAGTACCTAGCGTTGAAAATGTTAGGACACATAGGTATTTATAAAATCATTCAATTATCAAGGTCACCCTTGGGAGGTATCAAAATATTTTTGAACTTTAATATTGATAAGGCTACACTACAGACCTTCATCTACTATAATCACATCCCATTAAAAATCATCATCAAATTGCTTGAATCGCTCATTCTCATTGTAGTTACCAATAAGTACTACACACTGTGTCATTATATCATTATTACTTTTCCTGCTCCAGGTCCACAGAAAGAAATTCCAATAGGAATAGGTGGTACCTTTGTACTTTAATTTTATGTATGTGTTGTCCTTTATGTTCTATGTGTGTACATAAATAAATAAATAAATAAGATTGATTTGATATTATTATGTACAATAAATAGCAGACCACAGATAATTAATAAATAAATTAGTAACACCACATGTCACAACATCACACGGAGGCGAAACACATCGAACCTCACTACTAGAATCAAAAGAATATAGGAAAAAGAAGAGACCAGACCTTGCACTGGAAGCGGTCTTACGATACAAAGCCTTCAAATCGATAGACCCATAGGTTATTTATGCAAATTTTGCATATAATAACTGTAACTGTTCGAAACTCGATCAACCGGTCGAGGATCAGCTGCTTGTCTATGCCAAACCATTCATTAAAAAATGGCGGGCTTTTTCTGCGTGCCACAGAATCCTAGCGCGATAAAACATAAATGGCAAGATATAATAATTAATTCAGTATGGATATAAACATACCGCGATTCGAATGTGTGATCCGTGTGCGCAAAGACGGTCAAAATGTGGTATCAAATAATTTTATTCACAACAGTATGTGTGTTTACTTATGTTTTAAAGAAACTACACGATACTGGACCAAATAAGTTTAAGTTTTATTTTAATTTCTTTATATTTTACTTTTTAACGTCCGTGCTATCCGCCGTGATTTGGCCCTACTTTCTATTAAGTCCTAAAAACGTGAGAAATTCCAAGTAAGTACAATAATTATTGTTTTGATTGTATTTATTTTCTTTATAATTATCTCCTTCTTTCGTTTTTGTTTCAATCTCTTTTTACCGTTCTTTTTTGCCTATAGTTTAACGAACTCTTTACAAATTGTATCTAAGATGTTTATTTTTTTTTAAATAATTTCGCAAAAATTATTTGCTACATTGTCCACATTCGCAAAATACAGTTATTTTTGGAAATAGTTAAAGTAATTGAATATTACTTTCATCTTTATAATAAGGATTAAAATAGTAAATAATATGTGTTTTTAATATGGAACGGATTTAACAAAGATATTATTGTTCACACTATTGTAAAATTCATTTGTAGCGGTACTGTTTCTAATGCTTTAGCCACTAATTTGACATTTTTAATGATATTTCGCATCAAAACTTAGGAACACCTAATTAAATGATGTACCTACACTACATAAATCAGTCGGGTTTAGAGTGAAAAATTATTCATTAATTTTCAATAGTTTCCTTCAGTCAGCTACGAAAATATATTATTAAATTAAATATCTAATTGCATGTTTTAATGAATTTACGCATTTAAAGGATTAATTACCACACCTGAAATAGGTAATTAGGTACGTTTCAAAAAATATAATTATGTAGATATAAATATGTATTTAGCATGTTATCAAGTGATTTACAAACATTTATTAGATACCGCTCTATATTATCTTCGAAAAATGATTAAATATTAGCAACGTCGGCTGTCTTGATAAAAATATATACTATCAACGTAATGAAGTGACCTTTTAAATATTTCGACACATATTTTATTGTAATTATTACGTAGATTATAATTATTACAAAAACAAATATCATTAACTCCTAAAATTCGGGGTCAGTTTATTAATATTGAATGTCTAGAATAGAAAAGACCATTATGCCATTTCTAAATTTTTAATATATTTTTTGTCACCTTAAGAAAATTACTGAAAGTAGGTCTCAAAGCCAGAGTGGTAAAACCCGTGTATTGTTCACAAACAAAATAAATATTCATAACTATTGAAATAACCCTAATTTTCTGTTAAGGAAATTAAGCATTCAGTTCATGCATAAATTATAATATAATAATATGTTAGGTTACAACATAGGTACTTAATCCAAAGGACTCTGCGGGGACTACCCAGATCAAAATAAGACACATGCAAAAAGGTTCATCAAAATTGATCAAGGAGGAAAGAGAAATTCTTTGCACTGGATTCGCAAAAAATAATTAAGCAAGTCCAGTTTTATGTGTTTTATAAATGTCTTTTTTAATTAAATGATTATTCTAGGTGCCCCTACTAGACTTCTTTACACCACTATTACTACTTACCAGGTTTTGAACCCTCACCCCCATGCTCGAGAAGGGATCGTATAAACTTCAAGGCTAATTCCCGTACCTACTGTTCGTACCTTCCAATTCATAGCATGTTTCAAATTCCTTCAACCTTCCAACAAGTCTCCTTTGAAATGTCAAAACAGAAATCTGCATCAGTTAGTCTGATTGTGTAGTCAAGGTCGTTTTGCGTACTCTCCTATGAGAATAACCTCATAGGATAATAGCTAAAGTCGCTAACGAATGCTGAATTATTAGTACCTAACCTATGGTCCCATGTATTAGTTATAAAGATAGTATTACACATCAACCTTATAACATGATTGGAAACGTAGGTGTTACATTCATTAATGTGTTCCTTAGAAGTTAGTACTCTTTTGACAAGTTTTAGTAGTAGGTACCTACCATAGGTATTTTAAACATGGCTTTTAACTAACCTAATGAAAATGGAAAACAGTTATATATAGCCTATGAATGGACGTCTACAGGCCAAAGATTTTTTATGAGATAAGCCAGTAAATGAGCAGATGGACCTAATCGGTAAGCAATCGGCGCCGCCCATGGACACCCGAAACACCAGAGCATTTCAAGTACGTTACCAGCATTTCGGGTATTAGGAATTTGAGGATTGGTGGGAAATCGGATAGATGTCACTCGCGCATTGTTGAGCCTATAAAAACTTTAAATTTTTGAAGAAAAATACATCATCTGATACTTAACACTTCATAAGGTTACGCTAAGTTAATTTAATGTCTTTAAACCTTAACTGTCAGTTGTGTATATTCCCGGAAGAGCTAAGAAATTGAAACTATACTATACTTGGGTTTAACCCAAGTAAGTAGCATGACTCAACAATCTATTATTTTAACATCGGGAACATTATCTACTTATCTTAAGGGTCTGTTTATCCAATAGATAAATTGATATACACATGTATCTGTCAGTAGACAAACAACGTGATGTAATATTAATATTTGTGTGAACAATTGTTACAAATTGTATTCTGAGATATTTTGAAAGTAAAATGCTTTGTGTATCCTACTAAATCCGTTATGAGAAAGCATGGTGATTAATGCTCAAACCTTTTTGTCCTGTGAGAAGAGTCTGTGTTCAGCAGTAGGCACCTAAGTTGTTGATGATGATGATGATCCTACTAAACGTTTAAAAAAATAGAACTAGTACTGGGTGCACTGAACAACTAAGCTAGGCCACTGGCAACCAATTTGTCACAAGAATAAGACATCATTATAAATTAAGGAAACCTAATTAGTGGCAACAGAACTTAACATCTGACACGAAGAACGAAAAATCCAATTAACGAACTACCTACCAAAAATATATCTAATAAAACCTCATTGAACTTGTAAATGGAATCAAAGTTCCTTTTAAACACAAAATGAAGTTTCGTGAGAAACTTTAGTTAGATAAATAAACCGAACTTAAATGGTGTCTCCACATAAACGAACGCCAAAGTTTTGGAATAAAAGTCACTTAGTAAAAGCGAATGTAATTTAGTTCCCTCATCAGAAGAAAAACCAATCAATTTTACCGTGTAACTGGAGGCTACAATACATTTATTTATCAGCGCCCCTACTCTTCCCGGTGGTGTCATAAGAGTATACACGGGGAATACCTCGGCATTGATCAACCAGTCAGCAGCGTTCTATGATAAATCTTCACCTTTTAAACAGTGTGGAGATCATTTTCTAAGCGTAGAGGTAAATCTCTGTTTTGTAGACGAGACCTACAGTACTGCAATAAACTCTCACGAGTGGTCAATTTCTGGTTAGGCTGATGCGTAGAAAATGTCAGTAACTGCAGACTGTAGGAAATTTCGCTAGACTAATGCGTAGAACATGTCAGTAACTGCAGACAGTAGGAAATTAAGTATGATGTTATTATCGTTTTGATAAAACCAACTCGTGGATTAGTGTTCTTCTAATTATCAATGACTTGTGATAACCTGAATAACAATCACAACAAAAACAACGTACTTGTATAAATAGTTCCGTGTAGATTAACGAAGGCATCAGTTGTGGAATTTCAGTTACATTTATATTATTTATCATCTATTTTGAAAAGAAATGTTTTAATTACAATTACAAACACTTCTAATATCAAAATCCGATTGATTTAATATATTTTTTCTTTAAGTGGGAGTTAAAAGAATATATTTTAATTTTTAATACACCTTTTTCATAACAAAAAGAAAAACAGAAAACTTATTGTAATGTCACTCCTGCTTCCAACAGGGACGAGGAAAGAGAAACATTTAATATTTGTGCAAACTCAACTTGTACGGACATCGAAGACGGAGATGAAAACTCTCGACCCCTCCTCTCTAATTAATTAACACAATCAAATTATTTAGTTTATCACTTCGAATTTCCTTTTCTTTATAAGCAGAGATGAAGCCATATAATAATAACAAACGCAGTCATAGAACTTTCGTATAAAGTAACATTATGTGTGATGCCTAGCAGTTATTCTGATACTAGAGTCTGACCGCGGCTTCGCCCACGTTCTCGTATGATGAAAAGTAGCCTATATGAAAGAAAAAAAGAAAGAAAGAAAAACCATTTATTTTGCTACGACACACAACAAGAATTTAGAAACACAAAAAAAAGCCTATGGTGCGTCGCAGCAATTATGTTATTCTACATAATAATCTATAGCCGCGGATATTACTGGAGTTCTGGCTTGGAGAGCAGGAGAAGGAACAGGGTGGGTTTTAGTCAGTAAGAGTCTGATACTCCCTCTCGCCTCACCCAAGGCGGGAGAAGTCATTGGGTGATTTTTGCCCCTAAAGAGGTCATATAACATTCAATCAATTAAAAAAGTATTTTATAACGTAGCATTATATGTTATATGTAGCTTGTATTTTGATATTTTAAAATGTTTATCAAAACACGAAAAGTAGGACCACAGACATAGAGTAGATCTATGTCTGTGAGTAGAACGCTTACCTCTATAAAGTGCTATCAAATAATTGGATGCACGGAAACAGTAACAAAAATATTGTCTTACATTCTGTTAGTCCACAAACATTAGTAAATTAAAAATGTATACGTGTTACGTAGTGTCCTTTTGTAGTCATGTAGAGCTAAGTTTGGATAAACTATGTTTTTTATTACTGTTGCTTAACTAGATGGGGAGAGTAAGAAGCAGTCTAATCCTCGATCATAAATGAATATTTTCGTTTCCTTAGGGAGTTATCCTTAAGGAAACGAAAATATTCATAATATTAAATTTTTTGGAGTAGCAGTTTTTAAGTTACGCACTTGCATACCTACATATTTGTGATTGGTTTTTATTGATTACGTAGACTACACAGTACCGTTATAGGTAAAAATAATCAAAAAACTCGCCTCGCCGTTCAGGTTAAAAATAAATTCATATACGAATTTTATTCGCTAGCGGCAAATCTAAATTCTACATTCGAAATATCAAGTTGGTGAAACAGAAAGCAAAAGTGAATGAGTTATAGCATAGACTATCATAATTAACTTTCACTGAGAAACCAAAGCGTGTTTATCTCCGGTTAGATACAAAAATAATTTGCGTTTTAATCTTATACTATGGTATTATGTAGACAGGTGCTAAATAGCCTTTCTATACAAGTTTATCACAACATTCGCAAATCTTCTTTCTA